CGTGGGGCTTGAACTCTGGGCCTGGGCGCTGTCCCTCAGCTCTTCAGCTCAAGGCGAGCGCTCTACCACTTGAGCCACAGCACCACTTCCGGTTTTCTGGTGGTTTATTAGAGATAAGAATCTCACAGTCTTTCCTGCCCAAGCTGGCTTTGAACCATGATCCTCAGCTCTCAGCCTCCTGAGTAGCTAGGATGACAGGCGTGAGCCACCGGTGCCCGGCTTGGCCAAAGCAATTCTATGAGCTCCACTCTGCTGCCTTGATCATGGGAATTGGTTCCTGCCTCTCAGGCGGTTAGGGTAAAAGGAGATACCGAGTGGTGTGCTGCGCGGAGCCGGGTGGAGCCTGGCAGGCATCATCACTGGTGCTGAGACTCGACTTCCCAGGGGTGTCGTGGGTCTGGCTGGGGCAGGGCTGGACCTCACCTCCCTCGTCCTTGGGCCCTGACTCGAGGCCCGGGGGGGGTGACTTGGAGAGCTCTGGGAGGGGGGTGGGGGCGGCGGCGGGTGGTGTTGGTCCCCCCTGGTCGGCTAGTCCTTAGCCACAGCGGAATTTCCCCTCCAGGTCTGGGGGCCATGGCTGAGGTGGACACCATCGTGGCTCAGGTGAAGGAGGTCCTCTCGCAGCAGGGTTGACTTGGGACGTCCAAGCACAGCAACGGATGTCAAGACAAACGTGCCTTGGGTCTTGGGTTCGCCGCAGAGCAAGTGTCTGGAGCCCGGGCTGGAGCTTCTCCAGAGCCTGACCTCTCCCTGCTCGGCTGGACCCCAGGCCCAGGCCCCGGCTAAGCCTTTCACCAGGCCATGCCCACTTCCAGATGCTCCCCCATCTCTTACCGGGTCAGCCCTAGGGCTTAGCACAGGGGAACAGGCTGCTGGTGCTCCTGGGAATTGCTTTCAGAAATACCCTCACTAACCAGGCACTAGTAGCTCACACCTGTAATCCCAGCTACTCAGGATATTGAGATCCGAGGATCACAGTTCAAAGCCAGCCTGAACAGGAAAGTGTGTGAGACTCTTATCTCCAGTGAACGACTAAAAAGGATGGGAGTGGCGCTGTGGCCCAAGTGGTAGAGCACTGACTTTGCACAAGGGAAGCTCAGGGACAGTGCTCAGGCCCTGGGTTCAAGCCCCAAGACTGGCACAAAAACAAAAATAAAATGAAGGGACAATGCCCAGGCCCTGAGTTCAAGCCCCAGGACTGGGCCCCCCAAAACACCATTCTTGGAGACCCCTTGTGAGGCAGACCCTGACTGGATCTTGGAGCCTCTGCCCTTTAACAGGATGCCCAGGCGAGCATGCAGGCAGGAAGTCTGGGATACTGCAGGATTCTCCTCTCCTAAACACGCTGTGAAGTGGAGTGTCCAGAAATAAAGAAAAGTGACATTTCAGCGGAGTCTGACCCTCCTTCACAACCCGTGCGTGGTCTTCCTTCAGAGAGCACTGCCAGGCGAGGCTGGGGACGGGTCTGAGCTGACATGAACACACATAACGTGGATCGTAAGGACAAAGAGCTCCCGGTTCAAATCCCAGCTCTGCCATATCCCAGCAGTGGGCCTTGGCTAAAACTCCTGCCCTTTCTGACCTTCACGGTTCACAGCTTAACCCCGCCCCACCCCCGACACACACACACAGCTGTTGAGATGTCTGAGTGAGGAATTGCGTGCAAAATGCAATTCTCTCCCGGGTATACTGTGGATCCATTCCAGTGGGGAGGGCTGCTCTCCTCATGGCAGCCAGGAAGCAGAGGACTGGAAGGGGCAGGGCCAAGACACCACCAAAGGCCCGCCTCTCAAGGATCACTTCCTGCCCAGCTCTACCTTTGTCTGTGTGTGTCTGTGTGTGCGTGCGCGCGCGTGTTCATAAACGCGCCTGCCCGCATACATGCAAACACACACACATGCCAGTAGTAGGACTTGAACTCAGGGCCTTGCAATATCACTTTGCTCTTTCCTTCAAGGCTGACTACCATTTGAGCCAAACCTCCACTTTCTGGCTTGTTGCTGGTTCATTGGAGATAAGTTTCACAGACTTTCCTGCCCAGACTGGCTTCAAACCCCAATCCTCCGATCTCAGCCTCCAGAGTAGCTCGGATTATGGACGTAAGCCACCAGTACCCGGCTTACTAGTGATGATTATCAAAAATACATGGGGATGGGAAGGTGGCTCAGTGGTAGAGCGCTTGCCCTGCATGCATGAAGACCTGGGTTCGATTCCTCAGCACCACATAAGCAGAAAAAGCCAGAAGTGGCGCTGTGGCTCAAGTGGTAGAGTGCTAGCCTTGAGTTGAAGAGCTGAGGGACAGCGCCCAAGCCCTGAGTTCAGGTCCCACAACCAAACAAAAAAAAGCAAAAGAAACCGAAAGTAGTGCTGTGGCTCAAGTGGTAGAGTGCTAGCCTTGAGCTGAAGAGCTGAGGGACAGCGCCCAGGCCCAGAGTTCAAGCCCAGTGACCAGAAAAAAAGAACCCCCCCCCAAAATTTTCTTCCATCTTCATAAAATTTCTATATGACTGGGACATAAAATATACAGGACTCTAGGTGTTCACACACAGTGTCCAAAGGAAGACACATTTAGGAATACAAATGTGTCATGTCTATGTGTCTCTCACCATATAAAATAATATTTATGGGGCTGGGAAGGTGGCTCAGTGGTAGAGCGCTTGCCTTGCATGCATGAGGCCCTGGGTTCGATTCCTCAGCACCACAGAAGAAAAAAAGAAAAAAGCCGGAAGTGGCGCTGTGGCTCAAGTGGTAGAGCGCTAGCCTTGAGCTGAAGAGCTGAGGGACAGCGCCCAGGCCCAGAGTTCAGGCCCCACAACCGGACCCAAAAAAAAATAAAAAAAAATAATATGGAAATGGAAGCTTTATCTGTTTTGCTGTTTTTGCTTTCTGTCTTGTCCATTTATCTGTTGTTGGGAGGGTAATGGAGGGCATAGAAATGGAGGGCAAAGGGTGAACAAATACAGCAGGGGTGCTCACTGGACACTGGAAAATGAACCACTCAACTTGTGGTGGGGACAAAAGGGAAAAATGGAGAGAGAGAGGGAAGGGGGGGACACTGTCCAAAAATAAACACACTTTTGTTGGTCTTGGGGCTTGAACTCTGGGTCTGGACACTGTCCCTCAGCTCTTCAGCTCAAGGCAAGTGCTCTACCACTTGAGCCACAGCGCCACTTCTGGTTTTCTTGTGGTTCATTGGACATAAGAGTCTCATGGACTTTCCTGCCTAGGCTGGAATTGAACTGCAATTCTCAGATCTCAGCCTCCTAAGTAGCTAGATTTACAGGCGAAAGCCACCAGCGCCTGGCAAGAAACATACTGTTTACCTGACATACCTAACTGTAACCCTTGTGTACATCACCTTTATAAGAAGAATTTTAAAAACTGTTTTTAAATTCTATGTGAACAGTACCAAGAACCAACCAGCACTGGTGGCTCACACCTATAATCCTAACTACTCCAGAGGCTCATATCTAACAATTGAGGTTCAAAGCCAGCATTGGCAGGAAAGAAGGCCGTGAGACTCATCTCCAGTGAGCCACCAGAAAACCAGAAGTGGGGCTGTGGCTCAGTTGTAGCATGCTAGCTTTGAGCAAAAGAGCTCAGGGACAGCCTCTGGGCCCCCAGTTCAAGCCCCACGACCAGCAAAAATAAATAAAAAGCATTTGTGTCTGAAATGCACACTCGTACTGCTTTTCAGCCTGGAGCTCTTCGAGGCTGCTGTGGCTACCCCTGGGAGAGAGGCCTACGCCTCCAAGCCCGGCCCCAGCCTCCTCCCTGGGCAGACTCCAGATCGCCCTCCCTCGTGGCTCCCTGCCGGCTCCAGTGAGGCCGGGTTCCAGGGTGGCCTCCATGCTGCCGGCCTTGCCTTGACCACACACATGGCAGGGTTGCAGGGGGCCTGGCTGTTTGTCCTGCCTTTGTGTAGCCTATGTGTGCATGCATGCGCACACACACACCCCTGTACGGGGACTTGAACCCAGGACCTCTTGTTTGCCTTTTTCTGCTCACGATGGATATTCACTTGCCGCCAGACCTATACCCTCAGCTCTCTGCTGGTTCATTGGTGAGAAGCTGTCTCATAGACTTCTTGCCTGGGATGGCTTCACACCTCGATCCTCAGGTCTCAGCCTCTTGAGCAGCTGGGATTCCAGGCGTGAGGCACCAGTGTCTGGCTTACTGTTGCTTCTACTGGAAGGGACTGCCTCACCTGGCTGAGTCCTTGGGGTGCCTTTAGAGGGTCCCCGTCCCTGGTGTCATCTCTGGAAAGCCTTCCTTGGCCAATTCAGGCTGGATGAGGACATCCTCACCTTCCTCATCTTCCTGTCCTGGCTTATTTGGTGTTCTTTCATTGAGATCTCTTGGCGAGCAGCTACTGTCAGTACAGGACCCAACAAGCCTTTCCACTCGATATTTATTGCACTGACCAAAAAAGAAAGGGAGGGAGGGATCCGAGGGATTGGGGGATGGGAGGGTTACCTTCCAGTCCTTTCTGAGCAAGCAAAACACCTGGGGATTGTAAAAGCAAAGACGGACTAAGTTTGACTGCAGAACAATAGCCCCAAGGCAAGGCTAAAAGGCTGGGTTGTCAAGTGGCTCACGTGGTGTAATGCCTGGCCAGCAACTGATAAGGCCGTGAGTTCAAGCCCCAGTGCCACCACAAAAGCCAACAACAAAAAGTCACATTTTCCCAACAACTAGGATAATTAACTGTAGTTCTTTTTTTTTTCCCCCCCCTCCAGTCCTAGGGCTTAAATTCCAGGCCTGAGCACTGTCTCTGAGCTGCTTTTTTGCTGAAGACTACTCTACCACTTGAGCCACAGCGCCACTTCCAGCTTTTTCTGTGTATGTGGTACTGAGGAATCGAACCCAGGGGTCTCATGCATGCTAGGCAAGTACGCTACCACTGAGCCACCTTCCCAGCCCCCCCTCCTTTTTTTTTCTTTCAGTTGTGAGGCTTGAACTCTGGGCCTGGGCGCTGTCCCTCAGCTCTTCAGCTCAAGGCGAGCGCTGTACCGCTTGAGCCACAGCACCACTTCCGATTTTCTGATGATTAATTGGAGATAAGAGTCTCCTGGATTTTCCTGTGCGGGCTGGCTTTGAATTGTGATCCTCAGACCTCAGCCTCCTTAGTAGCTCTAACTGTAGTTCTTAAAGGACTGATTCCCTTAATGCTTTTGAATCTTTTATCTATTGGAGTGTTTGAGACCAAGTTTTGGTGTGTGGCCCGGGCTGCCTATGAACCCACAATCCCCTGCTTCAGCCTTCCATATCTGCTGGGACTGCAAGTGCATGCTACTGAAGCAGGAGAGACTAGGGAAAACGAGGCAGAGTAAGTGGCCGCCAGGAATTGAAAAACGTTCCCTTAAGCTTAAAGCTTGTCCATCTACTTCCCTTAAGATTAAGGGAACATTTTAGGGGAAATGAAGCAGGATAGACTAGGGCTGGGAATGTGATTTAGTGGCAGAGTGCTTGCCTAGCATGCATGAAGCCCTGGGTTCCATCCCTCAGTACCACAGACACAGAAATAAACCTGAAGTGGTGCTGTGGCTCTAGTGGTAAAGTGCTAGCCTTGAGCAAAAGAAGCTCAGGGACAGTGCCCAGGCCCCAAGTTCAAGCTCTAAGCCTGGCTAAGAATAAAAGAAAAAAGATTAAGGGAACAAATCATTTAGGGGAGAATGATGCAGGATAAATGGAGGAAAATAAGGCCTGCGGAAGGTAACTCAGAACCATAGTATTTAGAAACATAGAAGGGCCAGCTATGTTCCAAAGGAAAACAATAGAAGGCATTCCTCAGCCCCCACAAAGTGAACATTCGTGTGGCAGGGTGTGTGCCTTTCTGAGAGAAATGCTTCCCCCACACAGTAAGCAACCTCCGACCCAAAATGCAGACAACATGAGCCTTCCTTATCTCAATGGTAAGTGTCTAGTTCTGTGGCAGGATGCGTTCTTACCAGGAGAGAATGCCAAGGTGTCCCGAAAC